GTAGGGGTGGTGGGAGCCTATGGCCGAAGAGGGACAGCGGGCATCATGGAGAGGGGAGGAGGAGGGGGGCTATGGCGGCCGTTCACGTAGGGGTGGTGGGGGCCTACGGCGGAAGAGGGAGGGCGGAGTGGGGAGGAGGAGGGAGGCGATGGCCGCCACTGGAGGAAAGAGGGAGGCGATGGGCGTCACTGAAGAAGAAGAAGAAGAAGAAGAAACGAAAAAGACGAAGAACAAGAAGAAGAAATGAAAAAGAAAAACACGAAGGAGAAGAAACTAAGAAGAAGAAGAAAAAGTGAAGAAGAAGGAACGAAAAAGAAGAAGAAGGAACGAAAAAGAAGACGAAGAAACAAAAAGAAGAAATGAAAAAGAAGAAGAAGATTTGTCAACAAACGAAAAAAGAAGAGCAAAAAACGAAAAAGAAGAAAAAAAAAAAAGAAAAAAAAAAAAAAGAAGAAGAAAAAAAAAAAAAAAAACGAAGTAGAAAAAGAAGAAAAAGAAGAAACGAAGAAGGAAAAAAAAAAAAAACAAAACAAAACGAAAAGGAAGAAGAAGAAGACGAAGAAAAGCAGCAGCAAAAGAAGAAAAATAAACGAAAAAAAAGAAGAAAAAAAAGAAGAAAAAAGAAAAATAAGAAGAAGAAGAAGAGGAAAAAAAAAACTTTACCTCGACGTTCGAGACCTTGTGAGGATGGCGCGCGGCAGTAGGACGACGATGGGGCGGCCGCAGGAGGACGACGATGGCGGCAGCAGGACGACAACCTTGGCACCAGCAGGACGACGATGGCGACAGCATGACGACAACACCACGCAAACATCTACGACGACTGGCGCGCGGGGGAGGGCGGGAGGGCGAAGGGCGGAGGGCGGAGGGCGGAGGGCGTGGTACACGGGGTGAGGCCGACCGGCCCAGGACTCGAATTTGAATCTTAGGAGCATCGTGCGTCGTCGATCACCGATCATCAACGGCCAGGATAAAAAAAAAAACTTCTCAAAAGGGGCCTTCCGGGCCTCGAAAAATCGCGCGCTGCCAGCCAAATTTTTTTTTGGCCTGTGGACCGATGGGCTGCAACGCGAAAAAAATTTTCAACCGCCGTTTTCGGTTCGGCGCTGAGAAGGCCCGGGTATTTGGTCGGGGGGGTTGCACGGCCAAGCGCCCCGAGCGCCATTCCGGGCGACCTCGGGTGGCCCGGGCGCCCGGGTGGGAAAGCTAGCTCCCCTAAGAAAATGAAGTCAAAAGGGACTCCATGAGAAAAATGGGCCTCCGGGAGAAAATTGGAGTATGAGGGTCTACCGTTTGGAAGGGGATAAGGGCAAACAGAGGTTCTCATGGGGCATGGGAAAACCACAAGTGCAGTCCGAGAAATAACGGACTGACCCTTGAACATGGGAAGGGCCAAAACTAAGAGGAAGGGCCTAGAAAAGGGCCTTAACGACTAGTTGACACTTGGCAAAACAGAAAAATAAAAGAAAAAAAGAAAGAAAATGGGAAGTGAGAGGGAGTGAGTGAGTTGGCCGTCAGTAGGGACTGGCAGGTCCCTACTGTTCGGAAATGGAGGGAAAAGAAAAGAAAGAGAAAAAGAAAGGAAAAGAAAAGAAAAAAAGAAAAGGGACTTAACGGCTAGTTGACACTTGGCATGCAAAAGGAAAAAGAAAAAGGAAAAGCAANAAAAAAAAAAAAAAAAAAAAGGGAGGTGAGAGGGAATGAGTGAGTTGGCCGTCAGTAGGGATTGCAGCAAGTAGGGACTGGCAAGTCCCTACTGTCCACAAGTGGAGGAAAAAAAGAAAAGAAAAAGAAAAAAAAAGAAAAGAAAAGAAAAAGTCCAAAAGGACACTAACAGCCAAAAACGGCCACCTAGGGGATGCATTTGTGACCAGATTCATTCTGGCATTTGTCGATTACAAAGTATCTTGATTTTGCAGAGAAAATCAAGAAAAATCAAACCCTCATGCAACCGAGA